GGCTTGAAAATAAATGGATAAGAGCTATATGAAAAAAAATCCTTACTACCTGTGTCCTTTTTATATTTCCATTCTAATGTCCAAATGTTTGAATGTCAGCAGTTTAAACATTTCATATGTCCGGAGACAGTCATTGATGGGGGATTCTTTTTAAAACTTTGCAAAGACTAGAGTCAAAAAGCCAACTGCAGTGGCCATTGTCAGGAGTTTCTAAATCAAATGAAGGCCAGTGAGAATAAAAGACAGCCAATACAGTATCACAAGCATCAGAAAATGACTAAGCAACCTAGATAGGTCTAATCAAAACACATTGATAAGTTAAAGAACAAAAAGGCATACCTTGAAAAGAAAAATGTACAATGAAGTGGTCACGTTTGGTTTCTTTGAATGAATCATGAAATGTGGACTAATAAATGTGTAGCCCAAATTAAGAATGTTGTCATGAGAACATATGAGAAGAGTCCCTAATGACCTTAGGTCAAAAGAAATTTGCACTGAAGGAACATCCTTATTAAAGTTAAGTGAAATACATTAATAATAAAACCCCCAAGCAGAAATAATAGAATATCTAGCTCTAGCAAACATAAAATATATGAGGAAAGTTGTTCAACAAATAAATTAAAGTGGAAAATATATAATTGGAATTAAGCCGTGTACTGGGAATTTCATTTCAATAGATAATAATTCAAAGAAATTATTCATAGCTATAGAAAATATAGACAGAAATTTGCAAGTCTGGATAAATAATAAAGCCTGACCACCATTCATCCTGAGTATCTACGAGTATCTTCTAACAGTAATTTACCTTGGGAAAGAGCTACAATAAAAGCAGTATCATCAATGTTTAACCAAATTTCACTGATAGCAGCAAATAAAACAGATTGATCGGTTTCATAATTGGATGAAATCTAAACTTTCCTAATAATTAAGCAGGAATTCTAACAAATAATTTAAAGCAACTTAAATACAGGTAGTCCTCAACTTAAAACCACAAGTGAGCCCAACATTTCTGTTGTTAAGTGAGACATTTGTTAAGTGAGTTTAGCCCCATTTTATGACTTTTCTTGGCACAGTTGTTAAGTGAATCACTGCAGTTGATAAGTTAGTAACCCAGTTGTTAAATGAACCTGGCTTCCCCATTGACTTTGCTTGAGAGAAGATCACAAAAGGTGATCACATGACCTTAGGACACAGTCATAAATATGAACCAGTTGCCAAGCATCTGAATTTTTATTACATGATTATGGGGATGCTGCAAATGTCATAACTGTGAAAAATGGTCATAAGTCACATTTTTCAAGTCAAAGTTACAAGTTGCCATTGTAACTTTGAACAGTCACTAAACGAACTGTCGTAAGTTAAGGACTACTTGTAAATCAAAATAGCTTGCTAGTGATTCTATAAAGTATTCAGCAGAATAGTAGCAAGCAAGACCTGCTTTCTAAATATTTGTGGGGCAGTAACTTATCTAGATGCAGACAAGAAAAGAGTTTCATAGTATTTCCGAAAAAGAATCTGACAAGCATAAAACAAATATAACAAAAAATGCCACTCAGCAACAGCATAGAATAAATAAAATCACCAGTATAATTAAGATAATGAGATTTTAAAAGAAATAATGTGACTAGAGGCTTCAACCCTTCATTGGGGAGACAGATAAATCTTTTTTAAAAATCGTATTTTTAATTTTTTTTAAAAAATATATATATTTTAAAACTAGTCACATAAATAAAGTAAATGAAAATAATGTAATTAATTATTAAATTATTAAAATAAATAAAGTAATGAAAGTCAAGGAACATAATGAAAAATGGGACCCAGATTAAATATAAAGAAAATAATGCTAATGACAACAGATACAGCAATGAGCCTTATGCTTGAAAACAGAAATATCGAATTGGTAGGTAGCTTTTGCTTTTTAGGTTCTACTATCAATAATAAAGGAACTAGCAAAAAAAATACACTGCAGACTAGCACTTAGTAGCATAGCCATGAAATTATTGGAAGCGATATTTAGATGCTGAGTAATTTCTATAGCTATAAGCATTAGAATCATACAGGCAGTAGTTTCTCCTGTGACACTCTGCTGAAGTGACAGTTGGACTTTTGAGGGAAACTGAAAAAAATGAGAAGAGGAAGAGGAAAAGAGGCAGAATTAGAAACAGAAGCCGAAACAGAAGCAAGGTTGATGGACTAATGGCAATAGGTATACACTGAAGGACTTGTGGCACCAAACTGGGAACAAATTAATTCTGGAGAAGGGCTATCTGTGTGATCACTATTAACACTGACCTGACAGTACATAATCAGTCAGTCAGTAAGTCAATCAATCAATCAATTCTGCTTAATATATTTTATATAATATTTATGGTATTGCCTTGCTTCAGGTTTCACCACAATTGCAATAGAAATGAGTAACTATAGGATAATTATCAGTTTTCTGCATGTTAACTGTTCTCAATGGCTCAAAAGCAGAACAAAGTGGCAATCCTTTTTGTCTTTACACTAAGTAAGCATCATGAGCAAACAAAATAGAATCCACAAGCAGTGAGTAGTGTGAGGTCATCTGGATCTCCTCCCTGTTTACAATACTCAAATTGCCCTTAATCACTCTGATGAGCAATTGGGAGCTCAAATGCTGTATGCAGCCAGCTCTAAGAACTTTTGTGCTCTCTTCAGTCCCAGCCTCAACTGTTGTTAATTTTCAAAATACAAATAGTAGGACTTCTGCCATATTCTATTTAGGGATTATTTCTATTGAAACAAACTTTATTGATTGTTATTTTGTTGTTTTAATGTATACTGCCAACAGTCTCAATATGGGGCAAAAGATGATCAATTTCTAAATACGGTTCAATCAATCATGTAACAATCAAAAATGGTATTAAGACCAGTAAGAAGTTATTATAGAATTATTATTATATACACAAAAATTTGAAACATCAGTTTTTAGTATTGGCCTTCATACACATCAAGTTCTTCTCAAGAACCTAGGGTGTTGTAATGTATCAGCTTGTATATGTTCAGAGCCAAGCAGTGTGGCCATTTTTTTCTCCAATAAAAATATTTCATTTTTTAAATCATTCCATTTTGATTTTCAGATCTCAATACTTTGTGATTTTTTTCAATTATTGGTCTTCTACTATCTTCTGGTATTGCCATATCAATTATCCACACTTTTCAGCCACAGTTAAATCTGATGGGTTATGATCCAAGACTTTATCAATTAGTATTTGGAAATCACATGATATTTTAACTTGCTCATTTTGATGACTTTTTCAGTTCTCTGTTTCCATCAGTTTTTCAGTACTGGCACATGATAATTTTTATAGATGTTCCAGTGAATCATTTTGGCAAGTATGTTATATTGTTGTGCATAATTACTGTAGTTTCTTGGTTGTATTAGTTTGAATAGCTTGCTCTTGAGCAACCAAAATCAAGCCTTCCGTTTGTTTATTTAATGTTCCAGTTTCAAGCCATTGTCAGATTTTATCTCTCATCTGTCTCTCTCTCTTTCTATCTCTCCATCTACCTATCTATCTCCTTTATAATTTTTATAAATAACCCAAGGCAAACATACCTAATACTCCTTCCTCCTCCAATTTTTCCCACAACCACCACCCTGTGAGATGGTTGGGCTGGGAGAGAGCGACTGGCCCAAAATAATTTGGCTGGTTTTCATGACTAAGGTGAGACTAGAACACAGTCTCCTGATTTCTAGGCCAGTACTTTAACCACTACACCAAATCCCTCAATCTTTTGTAGAAATTGACTGTAATGGGTTTTCTTGCAAGCATTCTGTTCTTGTTTTTATTACATTATTTCAGTTATTCATATTTTGTTTCCTGCACATTCAGTAAGTTCATATTTTAAGTTACAGCAATGCTTGTCTTAGCTGTCTTTTACTTAATCAGTCAATGCATGATTTTCTTTGATAGTTTGTTTGACTTGAAGTAAGCCTCTGCCTCATTTCTATGGACTAGGTATAATCTATCAATATGCCCTATGGAAATTACATCAAGTCTGGATGAAGATCACTACAAATACATGGGCATTCTTGAAGCTGAACATATTAAGTACACTGAAGTCAAGAAGAAGGTTAGAAAAGAATACATCATGACAGTGAAGATCTCAAAGTGCAAACTCAGTAGAGAAAATACCATCAGGACATTAACACCCAGGCAATTCTAGTCACTGAATACACAGCTGGAATAGTGAACTGGACTCAAGTAGAATTAAAAATCCTGGATCGGAAGATGAGACAAATAATGACAATGAATCATGTATTTCACCCATGCAGAGATGTTGACAAATTCTATTTGCCAAGGATCATAGGAGGGCATGGAATGTTGCAAGTACACTGGACAGTTGAAGAAGGAAAAAGGGTATTGGAGTTAGTACACTATAAAGATTTACTGATTACCAGACAGAACAAAGTGATCTACAAGAAAGACCAAATGAAGCATAGGAAAGAGACATGGCAAGGCAAAGTATTACATGACAAATAAAAAACAACAACTAACAAACAATGCAAATGGCTGCCAATGACTAAGAGCTGGGAAAAAAAAAGACAGGGACTAATTCTGGCTGCACAAGACCAAGCCCTAAGAACAAGTGTGTACAAAGCCAGAACTGAGAAGATAGCAACAATCAGCAAATACCGCTTCTGCAAAGAAGCTGAAGAAACAGTGGACCACTTAGCTGCTGCAAGAAGATCACACAAACTGACTACAAACAACAGCATGACAAGCAGAAATAATGGTAAATTGAAAGAAACAATGGTGAAGTGGAGCATCTGCAAGAAATACTATTTGCCTGCTAGCAAGAACTTCCACATCAGACACTGATATATTCCACAAACAGTCCTTAGCCTATAAAGACTACACATTGTTTGCCTATAAAAGGAGGTGCAAAGGTGACTCAGGTCAGACCAAATGTTTCTTTTACAACTGAACTATTGCAGTGGTACTTTTTTTGTAACAAATGCAATCTTGGCTTACCTTGGGTTTCCTCCAATAGCTCCCCTGTCAATTTTCCCACTTCAGCTACAGCTTGCCAACATAAACCTTTGTTAGCAGCAAACACCAGGCTATAGTAATGGGCATCAAGTTTGATACTCTGACGTACTTCCTGAATTTCATCAAACTCATTCCACCCCAGCAAATCTCTTAGATACAGGCGACCAGGTTTCTGCTGAAAAAAGCACCAAGCAAGAAAAGCTGTTAGTATGTGGCAGTGCTTCATATCATGGAAGAATTAAAAAAATCATAGACCAATGTGCAGGATCAAATTTGCCCAGCGTTCTGTCCCAAAAAGAAGCCAACCAGTTTGCTCTGAGAAGCTTACAAATGCAACAGCTCCTATGTGGCTATTTCCACTCTGATTACTGTCTTACAGCATCTTCCATTTCAATCAGTCCAATATATTAGCAATGAAAACAGCTTTTATATCATCAAACCAATGATGTTATAAAATGTGAAAAATCATTATATGGCTATCATGAGTAATAGCTACTGATGCTGCATTATTCTAACTTATTTTTTTACAGCTATGGTTTGTTTGTGAAGAGACAATATTGTAATAAGGTCCCTCATCCAGCACAAAACTAAGCAGGCTTAAATCTAGTTGAGTTCAGATATTGCATTAAACCAATCATGGTTTGCTAACTAACCCATATAACCTTAGCTCAGGGACTAGAGTTGCCGTTGAAATGTAAGAACATAAATTTCAGGTTTCAAAATGGTATTAGGAAAAGCATTCTTAAAACTCAACTTTCCTGTGATTCTGCAGAGCTTTTTAAAAAACAATAATTTTATTTTTTTAAAAACCCTGGAGAAGTGCTTGTTATTGGTGGCATGAATGGTAGTGATATATGCTTGGGTTCCTTTAGTAAGTGGGTGATGAGTTTTATTAAAATAGCTGTATGGAATCTTGAAGGTGGTTTTGAAATTGAAACGTATTCTGTTCAGGAGCTGATGTTTGATGCAGGGCCAATGTAAGATAATGTACTGTGACAAGACATAGAATAGGAGACTTATAGGTCAGCTTATAGTAAAGAGACAGATCTTTGACTTGAAAAATATCCCATGATGGATGCACTCACTCTGGCACAGCATGAGAAAAGGTCTGTTTGAAAGTCCCCATTTTGAAGATTGGAGTGAAATGGCTGCAGTTATTGCAGCAGGACAACTGGTGACTGTGAAGCACCAAAGCTTCATCAAGAGAAGACGTATGGTAGTGCTGGAATGAAAATGAGGTCTGGTGGAAGAGTGAGTGTTTGCCCCTTATAGTTTGAGCACTGGACTTCTGCATTTACAGTCAAGGTCCTACCTGGTCAGTTTATTTTGGAAGATTATCTATTGGCCAGCTACCAGGTTTGCCTATAGGGCTATCTGTTGGACTACTTGCTGGACTTTATGCTGGTCTGCCTGCTGGGTTATCAGTGCTGACAGGGGAGGGAAGTCAAGCCTAAGCCGATGACTTGTGAGGTGCCAAAGGGTCAATGATCTCATCCCTCCTATTTAATATCTATATAAAGCCAATAGATGAGATCATCCATCAACATAGGGTCAGGTATCATCGGTTGCATATCTCAATTCTACTTCAACCAATTGACACTGTCAAGGCTTTGTCTAAGGGCTGGAGGCCATTGTGGTCTTCAAGAAGAGGAATAGGTTTATATTCAATTTGACGTAATTGAGTGATTTGTAGAAGAATTCAGCCTGAAAAAGATTTAAGAGATGTGGAAGTGCATTCTGAATTGTAGATCCTGCATAAATCAGGAGGAGTGAACTAGATTAACTTTTAAGATTACAATTTCATAGCTATAAAATTCAACAGTAGCGACCTTGCTCACACATTATAATCCACCATAAATATTGCTTTGCAAAACACAATTGCTAGGATCACACAACACAGTATTTAACAAAAATACTATGGATTAATGCAAGTTATAAATAAATAATCAAATTTGAAAATACTGCCAAAATCCTAATTCATTAGTTTGATTCTGCTTAAATTGGACCACTACAGATTATGGACAATAATAATCAGTTTTTAAATATATATAAAATATTCACCATCAAAGTCATAATCAAACTGGAACTGCTTAAAAGCAATTTGTCATTTCCCTCCTAGTGATGTTGTTGCAGTATAATTATATTTTTTATCATTGTGATTTTTGAAAAAAAAAAATCTAAACCAAAGCAAAATACAAATGGAAACTTTAGTAAACAAAACACAGGTTTAAATCTCCGCTTTGCCACTGAATATGTGAACTTACTTTAAGTCAGTCACATTTTTTGTCTCATGCTTTTGCCCAAACATTCTCAAACATTGCCCAAACATGCTTTTGGGCAGTGTTTGAGGCTGCACAAGAATGGGGTGTGCCCTCACACAGCCTCCAGACCGCCTGGAAGGTGCACAAGTGGGCCGTGCTCTTATGTGACTTTTAGAGCCTCCAAAAGACACATAAGAATGGAGATGTGCTTTTGTGTGGTTTTTGGAGGCTACAGAGCATTCTCCAAAACCACTTCAAGAACGAAGGCCTTGTACAACCTGGAGCAGCCTTGGGGCCTTTCAACAGAAAGAAACCACCTGAAGGTAAGTGCTACATGGCAGAGCCTAGGAAGTAGTGGGCCTTGAGGCCCTTGCTCTCTACTTCAGGCCGATCCTCAGTGCTGCCATTGAGTATCACTGCACAGGATAGCCTAGAGGGCGGCGGGGGGGGGGAAGCTAGAGAATTGTTTCACTTTTGTTAGTGTGTGTGTATGGAGGGGGGGGGAGAGAAACCGAGTCAAAAATTTTCTGAATTTCTGACATGCCAAGCCCAAAAGGTTTGTCATCACTGGGTTAGAAAATCAAATGTCAAAACAATCCAAGAATACAGTAATTAATTTCATTGTACTTAAAGAAAAACATCTGCCATCAAGTTCATCCACTCCCTTTCTCATATATAAGCACATAAAATCCAGTGTGAAAAGCCCCTCTCTGGATTTAAAATGTCAGTATCAGAGCACGTTGTAACAGTCAACTGCACAGTCAGAATCTGGCTGAGGCGTCTTAATCAACGCATCTCCTAGTACTTTTAAAATCAAACGACACTGTGCAACAGCATTTTTTTAAAACAATGTTTTCTCGGTCAGAATAAAGTAAAAAAAAAAAACCAGTGAAGAAAAATGAAAAGTTTACAAAGCCTTCAAGATTTCTCCAGGAAGAAGGCAGGAAGGCGTCTGAAGCCTTATTTAAAGGTCCTCCTGGTTTCCATGGGAATGGAACTTGGCAAACTACGATATATTTCACCAAGATTTTCTGGGGCTCTACCCTCCCCTCTACCATGATCACCTTAAACTTTTACCTCTTATTTTTTACCTGCAACTGAAGAACAGCTTTAACACCCTCCGCAGTCAAATTGGCCATCCTTCCTGGATTGGTTGCTAGGAGACACTGGCTTACGATGCAAAACCCTGGAAGAAAAGGTTCTGTTACAAGGACACACTTGCATACTCCCTTCCAGAGCACAGCCCTTATGGCAGCCCAGTCTTAACTTTTGTATCTTATGTTAATCTGCCCATCAAAGGATCCAGTAGAGATAAAAAGCCTACTTTTTCAGTTACACATTTATGAAATACTTAGATACAAATATATGGGAGAGATTTAAAGTTTTAGTGACTTACCTAGTGTCCCATGGGCATGATTTATGTGCCCCTCTGTGATACATATGCCACCAGTCACAACTGATTTGAATGCCTGGGCCAGATTGCACAGGATTTGAGAAACATGCACAGAAGTTGATTTTGTGGCTCTTGTACATAAATGCCACTTCTGTCTTCAACCCTAATATTTCTATTTTGAAGATTAATTGCAGCTATTGAGCATTGTAAGAACACTATTCAATGGCTCTTGTTAACTGTTTTTGCAGGATTTAGACATCATTCCTACTGAATTAAACAGAAAATTCTGAGACATCAAGTGGAAGACTGGGAAGGTCTTATGCCTGTTATTGGAATGGCTGATCTGGTTCGGTAGCACCTGAGAATGTAGAGAAATGAAGACACCTCAGTGCTCTTATACATTAAAAAAAATCCTCTCACTAAATAACAAGCAAAACACAACATCAGATCAGAAAATAATGACGTAATCTAGGGTTTGAGGCCAGAGATTTTATGTTTGTTTTATGTAATGGAATATTCCACAATATTCCAAAATGCAACAATGTGGGCAACTATGGTGCCTACTATTCGGAGTGTGTGATGTCCCTGCTCTGCAGGTCAGATTGGTGGGTACTATGTTTCTGGGTTTAATTCAATGTGCTGGTTGTCACCTTTATAGCTCTTCATGTTTTGGAGCTAGGCACTGGTGGGATTCAAATATATGAACAACCGGTTCTCTGTGTGGATGTCGCTTCTGGAAGTCCATTCTGGGCCTGGGCAACAAAAAATTAGCTACTGGTTCTGCCGAAATGGTGCAAACCAGCTGAATCCCACCACTGGAGCTAGGTCACTTGCAGCACTGCCTCTCCTCGGTTGTATTTACCTGTCCTGAGCCAAGAGGAAAGGAATGCTCTGGGTCCTGCCCATTAGGGAGTATCATCTGGTGGGACCCAGAAGGAGAGCCATTTCTACTGAGACATTCACACTCTGGAATATCATTCCCCTAGAGTTTAGACTTGCCCCAATCCTGCTGTCTTTCTGCAAAGCTTTGGAGACTTGGTTTTGTTTTGTTTTTTAACTCCAAGCCTAGGGCTCTGGGCATGTAATTCCAATCACAGCACTGGAAAATCTTTTGTGACTACTTTGTAATTCTAAAAGATGGCAGGAATGGGGCATCTGTGAGGGAGACCCAGCAAACAGGAGAGGCTGTTTAACTTTTCCCTAGCGTATACATTTCCTTTCCTATTATTTTACTCATTCTCCCCCCCCCCCCCATATTAGGGAAGACTGAGCAGAGGAGGCAAAATGTGATGACCTGAGGAAGGAGGAAAAGCAGGCACAGGAAAGGTTACATAAGGTCACATGTGATGTGACATCGCCACACAAACGACATGATGTGAAGGTGTCCTGACATATAGCATCATTGTGCCTTATATCTGACACTTATGTTTTTATCCATGCTTTCTTTGCCAATCCTTATGCTCTTTCAAGAATCACAAATTATGAATTAACACTTTAAAAAGTAACTTCACCCTAACTGTGAAATTCAAGGCAGCCTTATAACATCTCTTGGCCTAAACCTTTGTCTGCAATAATGAGATACAATGCTGACCTAATAGGCAGGGGTTAACAAATTATTTCCAGAAGTAGCACCTTATATTATTATATGCATCTAAAGTTAATTATACAGATAAAGATATCTTTCTTTTTCTTATATAACTATTTTTTCTAGAACCAGAGCTGATATCATTTGGCATCAACACATCATCAGCATTATTTTGCCACCCGCAGTACTACTACTGCTACTTTCCTATGCTAACATCAACAGGCATCTTCTTCTGGCCCTGTAAACTGCAGCTTTTTCTGTTAAGCAGACAGGTCTAAAATCTCCCGGCTAAGCAGGTTTTCAGATTAAGCAAGCTGATTTTCCTCAGTCAGGAGAAACTGGGATCTTGAGCAATGCTGAAACAGCTATAAAAGATATGACCAGCAGCATTTCCTAGCTTAGACTTCATGGGCAAATCCAAAGCCCTGAAGCCAAAGTTGCCCCATGATAATCACCCAGATCCTACTCTATTGTATACAAGGTCCCAAAGATGCTTTTTCACGAGGCAGCTGGACTTTCTTGTTTTTTTTCCTTTGAAGACATTTTGCTTCTCATTCAAGAAGCTTCTTCAACTCTGACTGGATGGTGGGGAATGGAAAGATTTATACTCCTGCAACAGCTGTTCATTTGCATTCTTTTAGTGAGTTATTAAAGCTACCTAGAGGCTTATCTGTGTCTTCAGGGTCACCTGAGTAGTGCAAATGGATGTGGAGCCTTCTTGGAACTGTTGAAAGGACTGTGTTGTAGACTGGAGATAGATGATGTCGGATCTCTCCCCCTCTGTTGAGAGAGGGCTGTTCAATTTTGAACAGAGGGGAAGGGATAAGAGTTGCCTCGCGAAAGTCCAGTTGCCTCGTAAAAAATCATCTTTCGGATAACTATGACCTGGATGACTGAGAATCTCCATAGACATATACAGTAAGAGTTGCAGGAAAACAAACTTGGCATTAATACTTGATGTGACTACAAAATACTGATTCCCACCACATTGCATTCTTTCTTATTTTTATTTGCTTTCTAAATTATTTAATCTATCCAATTGTCAGAGTTTTATCATTTTTTAAAATATACAGCAATGACCAATCATAGGCAGCTGGACATAACTTTATTCTGCTTTATAAGATTTTTTTTCCAATAAGTTATGGTACTTATGCTAAATAAGCTATACTGTATGTCTATCCATCTTCCCATGCCCTAAAGGAGTGTCTTCATACAAGTTCCACCAAATAATATTTCCCAGTCTAGATTTATCTATACTTATTTACTTCATTATGTTGACATGGTGATACAGAATCTTTGATAGCACAGGTATGGGAAAGAATTTCTGGACTGTATTTCAATTTTGATGTGGCTTAGGTTGAGAAGGATACAACCCCCTGCAATACTTCCAAAAGAAGGACATTGTCTGAATTCCCCTTTTCTGTTTGACTACTCAGTTCTAGGTAAGGGCATCACGCTGCCACTCTATATTTTAATTCAAAAGTGATTCTCCTGATTATTGAGTTATATCCAGGACAGTGTGTGTCAGGTGTGTGTGTGTGTGTGTGTGTGTGTGTGTGTGTGTGTATTTGTGTATTTCTTCCATGGATTACCTTTCCTTGTCAAAGTCAAAAACTTGAGTAACTGACGTTAAGTGAACCATGGGTTAATATATTCTGCAATTGCATTTAATGTCATTCAAGGGAGCAAAATGCTGAAGCTGAAAATCCAATCAGCAGTACTGGCTGCCTCTTGCTATTCCTGGAATCTAAATATCTCTGATTATGAAAGACTTATCCTTTCCCTCCTGCCAGGTATATCTCCTTCGTTCCTCCTAGTGTATCTGTACAAGTGAAATACAAGCAGAAACCAAGGAAATCTTAGACACAAGGGAAATATCACTTAAGGAAGCCCACACCAATTAAATAAAAAGTCTCTACTCCTTTTTAGCACTAAATATTAATAGTAGTAAAACTTATAATTTTAAAATACAATATTAATTAAATAGTCTGCAGATCAGATCAACTGCAAGAAAGAGAGGGAGAGAGATAAAACTACAACACTGAAGAAATGCACAAAGACACACATGTATGAGTTGGTGCTGGAAAAATACTTGGTGTCAAGTAAATTTCCCTAAGAAGACATTCTAAGAGTGAGTATCAAGCCTGGAAAGGTTGTTTTCTAGCCAGCTAATTTGCTAGACAATAAAGAACTACTACTACTACTACTACTACTACTACTACTACTACTACTACTACTACTAATAATAATAATAATAATAATAATAATAATAATAATAATAATAATAATAATAATAATAATAATAATAAAGTTGGAAGGGACCTTGGAGGTCATCTAGTCCAACCCCCTGCTCAGGCAGGAAACCCTATACCATTTCAGACAAATGGCTGTCCAGTCTCTTCTTAAAAACTTCCAGTGTTGGAACATTCACAACTTCTGGAGGCAGGTTGTTCCATTGGTTAATTGTTCTGTCAGGAAGTTTCTCCTTAGTTCTTGGTTGCTTCTCTCCTTGATTAGTTTCCATTCGTTGCTTCTTGTCCTGCCTTCAGGCGCTTTGCCCAAAGCCATCAAATCATGTAACTGCTAAGCAGGAAGAGGGATTAAGAGATTCATTACTGAATTCATTCTTTCAGTTACAGTATTCAGATATCTGAAAGATAATGGAGATGACACAAACTTATTTGTTATTGATGAAGGGCCAGGAATAGAATCAGTGAATGAAAATTTTAGTTAAACAAAAAAAAGATTCTAATCAATAAAGTATTCAGCAGCAAAAACTAGTATTTCAGGTTTGTTAATGTTACATTAATATTTATTTATCTATTTATTTGCCACGATCTTATCACAATTCAGAGGCTGCTGCAGGCTTTTATAACACCAAATAGAAATACCATTATAAATAAAAGAACCCTCACAACCCCATCCAAATAAAATTACAAATATAGATGGCTTAACACTGTGCAGAACACTGTGCAGAACACTGTGCAGAACAACTCAGTCTTTAGACGCTGTGCAGAACACTGTGCAGAACAACTCAGTCTTTAGACGCTTTAAAAATGTTAGCAAAGAAGGGGCTAGCCTGATGTCAACCAGGAGGCTAACTCACAGCATCAGTGCTGCCATAGAAATGCAAATCTTCCTCATTCCAGCTCTCCTAGACC